ATCTGTTGACATAAGCCATGATAGGCTCAGGCGGCCGCGCCTCGTAAAGGGAGACAAGATGGCGGTGCACTTGGATGCGTTGTCTGTACAGGTTTATGGTGTATTTTTAAGCATGCTGTTGTGTTAGCAGTTGTCAGCTGTGTTCTGGAGGCTTGTGCGATCCTCTAAACATGGTGTCAGGCGACGTACGCCCCCTCCTGGAGCTGTTCGTCTGGTGATGCCTTTGTCAGTTTGTGGTCTATTAACATTATGTACAGTACAGTACTCCTGTGAAAACATTCATTAGCGCACCCAATTGTTTTTGCTATTCCCTGGTGGTGGGAGGACCAGACATCCGCGTGTTGTTGACGACCAGAACACGCCGGGGCAGCCTCCCCGCTGGTGTTTTTATGAACGTTCACTGTGAGAAGAGCGCAACCGGCACAAGTCTCTGACGTCATAAATGGTCTCTGACGTCACCGCTACTTCTCTGACGCTCTGGCTTCTTGGATTCGTTTTGATACGTTGAATTTACTTTGTTGGTGACTCACGTGTGATGAGCTTAATCTGACGCTATTGGTCGTGTAGTAAGCGGATGTGTTTGACGATGACGTCATGGGTGGACAGGCAGGACTGACGACGACATCACTCACAACGTCGCAATTCAGGAAACAGTTGGGCATTGAAGCCTTGAATGGTGAGGTCATTATATTTTAGTAGGTTCATCACTGGATTATAAGGAGGTGCTGCGAGGTGTGGCCCAAGGGATTGTTTACGTCACCTCTAGTTTAGACCACCGCCATCATTACAACACGTCATGTTTAATCCTCCATTCAACAAACGACATCGCCTTACTGACCCAATGACACGTCACCTACGCTTCATCATTACCTCGCACGTCGTTACTACGTCATCACTACGTCACACCGTACAGCCTCTCCTTATGAAGTAAAACCCCCCAACGGATGTAAAGTTTAACCCAGCCTCGAGTCAGCTCCTCAAGGTCCCCCGCCGAGCACCAGCCACCATCTGTTTTTTCCTGTTTGCGGGTATAAGATCAACGGTCACAAAATAAACGAAGGGTTAGGAGAAGGGCAGCCGAGCAGATGGTGGCGATTCATTGCGCACTTTGAGATGCAACAATGAAGGGCCTTGTAACCTAGCATGAGGCAAGCCCTTTGTTGAATGCGTCTTGCAAGAGGAGAGGCGCGAGATATGTCCGGCCGCCCTCTTGGGAAAGACCTGTGTGTGTGTGTGTGTGTGTGTGTGTGTGACATTGGGTGTGTTTCTGTGTGGAAAGGGAGGAGTGGGAGGGCAGTGCGCGTCAAAATTTATATATAACATTTGCAGCTTTGTGCTACCTGTTGACTAACCCGGTCACGTGGCCTGGGACAAAGCAAGGGGTGTGGGAGGCCGCCTTGTCACACACACACATAGACGCACGTACGCACACACACACACTCACTCTCATTTCTTGTTGATTATATTAGCCTTCCTCACTTTCCTTCTTCTCCTTTGTCACTTGTCCATATTTCCTTTCCCCTTTACTCTATCTCATTTTCTCCTGACCTCGTGCACTCGTACAGATAGGCTTTACGGGGTTGTTAACACGACTATAGCAGTTTGCATCACGCCCGGTGTAGAGGCGGGAGTAACGAGTAGTGCAAAATATAAGTTAGTGGTTAAAAATGTATACGACAGGAGCAGCGATAATCAACGCCTAACTCAAGATAAAAGTACAGCATCAAAACGACTTTCCTGAACAGATATCCTTTGTAGATGTTCCCTCGCTATATAGACAAGAGAGATGGGCTGTGTGCGGCCACACTATAATCATCAAAGTGTTAAGTAATCTCCCAGAACCATTATAAATTGGTGAACGCCATACCAAGTGACGTAGTGGTGTTGGTGTGAACTGTTGGTGTTGTTGATTTATTAGTGGTGTTGGTGTGACCTCGCTAGGCAGAAGGAAGATGACCTTCCTACAGGAATCTGACAGGACTCCTCCAGTAGGAATCCCGACCCGTCTGCCTTGCCTCGGTGTGGTAGACGTGACGGTTAGGACCTCCATAGGCACGCCGGGGAAGGCCCAGGACGCCTAAAGGGCTCTGAAGAGGTTGTGGATATGACAGGTCTTACGTGATGCTAGTGAAAGCTGCTCGGGGAAGACCGTAAACCTATTTTAGGAAACATTTCGTGATGATGCTGATGAGGAGGAGGTTTTAATAATAAATTGGTATATATACAGTATTCGGGATCTTTGAGTTATTAATGAGAAATATAAACATGTGGGCAACGGCGATCTTGCCACTGAGAGAGAGTAGTAGTCACCTTCAGTAGAGACTCACGACCATTGTACAGATGCTGGCTATTGTAACTAGGGATCCATTGTGGCAACTTTACCATTATCTTCGGTTTATTGTTTACTTGGGATGTCTCGAATTGTTCCCCGCATCTTATTCTGCTCTTGTCTCTCTCAAACATTTTGTCCATCTTACAGAACATCCGTACACCTCCCCTGCCCGAGATCACGTTGCCTAACAAGCAAACACACACACAATCATCATAGTATGTGGGTTAATCACCATAATAAATTGGATAAAACTACAGTGGGGAGTGCCAGGCAGGCAAGCCATGGAGGGTGCCAACACAGCGGCCTGTTCTGATGGCGCACAAAACAAACAAACACCTATATTCCCTGGTGACGTCAGGCGGCAGACATTGCGTAGCTGTGGTGGAGGGAGGTGGGGCAGCTTCCACGTAGCCGCCAACATCAACACAAAAAAAGACAAGCGGTTGTTGAATGTCTCCTGATGGTGTTCAGGGAAAGGCCAGGCTGTATGTAACTGCGGTTATAGAATGGTCTCCTAATGACTGGTCCATCCCAGGGCGTTCCAGGTAACCCAAACTTAACATACGTAAATTTGTTAGATGAAAGTGGAGCTAAATTCAGTGAACAGCTAACTATACCGTAACTTTACAAGAAAATTGATGTTCGCGGTGTTTTTAAATATAGGCAATGGTAAAAAAGGAATCGCGTGAAGATGAAACATCCCCAGCTTATTTCGCTTGATAGACACTTCAAAGCTAACGAAACCCTCAGGTAGCGTTAGGTTCAATCGTCAAGTGAAATAAAGAGGGGTGTCTAATCTTTATGCGGTCAAACAAGGTTTATTTACTGAATTAATTAAACGAAAAAAAAAATCAGTTAAGGAACGTGATAGTTTAGGTTAGGGAGTAGTGTAGTTGGTCCTCAGTTGACGGTGGCCAGAATCAACTACCTCTTGAGAATTGAACATGGCACCCAGGAGGTTAGCCAGTAACCTGATGATGAAGTCTTGCAGTTGTGGTCGTGAAGTTAAGGGGTGATGTAGTGGTAAAGTAAGTGTTGTGGTGTTGAAGTGAAGGAGTGTTGTGGTGGTCATCCAAGTGTGTGTGGCAGTCAGCTGGGGGCGTCGCGCGTGGGTGATGTAGCACGTGTTGTCACGAGGGTCCGGCCCTGGTCAAAGTTCTCTTCTCTGTGACCTTTAAGGGAAGCTGGTTGATGGTTGGGCTGGAGACTGTGGTTTGTGCTGCGGGTCAAGATAATTACTGCTGTTGTGTTCTAGGTCTGGAGAGAAGTCACTGCGGTTTAGAGTGTTGTTTGGCAGAACTAAATCGAAGTTTCGTCGTTTTAATGAAGAATGTAACTAAATAAGATGAGTGTTTTGTAGACGGTTAGGAGACGGAGGGTTGGTAGTAATAATGTTTATAATATTTAATGGCATTACCACCAGAGAAGTTTTACCCATCCACATCAACTTTCTCTCAACTAATGCACAGTGATGAAACAAATCATGTATACGTTATGTTTCTTCCACATCTTTTTTTTATTAAAGAATAATGGTGGAGTTAAAAGGGCAGTAACCCGGTTAGAACAAGACCATCATGTAAATCTGTCTCAAGGAATTCGGGAACTAGCGCCCCTGAGGTCATGCCGCCATTGTGGGCCGCCAGATGTCAGTGGCACAAGACCTTTGGTTACGTGAGATGAGTGGCCAACCCGACCCGCTGCCCCACACACTATTTATGTTTTGTAGAACCTAGCTGTGTGTTTAGACCTTAATGTTGTTTTGAGTATGCAAGTACTTCATTTACATAGTGCATTTCTTGTTCGAGGTTGATTAGTTATGGTAGAATTATTCAAGCGTACTGTTTTTATTACCTGGGCGGGACAGCAGCAGCGGCCTTGTTTGGTTAGGTTAGGGAGGTCTCGAGAAAACTGCTTTGTTGGATTAAGGTCGCTGGAGATGGGGAGGAGCTGTGTCTGGCCCAATAAACTGACGATCTGTTACATTGAACCCCAGGGGAGGGGGAGAGGAGGGGACACGCTGATACACGGGGCAATACAAGGGGAGGCCCCCTCTGGTGGGCTTAGCTTTGTTTGGTCGGGCTGTTGTTCCTGGCCTCTCAGCCCCCTAGTGTGGGATGGTGGTTTGAGGGGGTGTTCTTCACTTGTTCGACATAGCAGTTAAACTTTTGATGCAGTTCATGGACATTCAGTCATTATGGTAGCCTTAATGGGTAGGTAAAGATGGAGGACACCGAGATGACTAGTGTTGTGGTGGGTAGACACTCCTGAGTCGTTTACCTTGGATGTGTGACTTTTCCCACATGGGTGTCGGTGGTGCGGCAGCCGTGTACGTTCTGTCAGGGAAAGTTCCCACCGCTAACTGCCTGGGCCTCGGTCTCCCTCCCACTTAGCCGGGTTCCCCACGCCCAGGCGAGGACCACCAGGAGCGCCGCCCTTGTTAATGCTCGACATTAAGCAGATTCACACCCTGCACCAATGCCTTTAACAGTCTTTTTTATTATTGTTTAACATTAACTCCTGTGTAAGTAAAATGATTTATTACGCTTTAGTGGTGTTGTCAAAGCCTAAGTTGTACAGACGAGTGGCTGTAAATACATTTGTATTTTAATATGTATTGGTAACAGATTCTGTTCAATGTAAATTAACCGAGTTTTTTCTTGCTCCACAGATACGCTTAATCTGAGTGGTGGCAGCTGGAAGGAGTCCTCCACGCCACTGCCCTCCTCCATGACTTCCTCCTCCAGCAGTAGCGGCGTCCACAGCTCCTCCCTTCTGCCGGGGGCGGCCCACACCTCCCTCCTGCCAGGGGCGGCCCACGCCCACCACTACCTCCCGCAGCCCTTGTGGAACTTGGCCTATTAAGGGCGCTACGCTTACCGAGCACCGGGGCCGCAACCAAAGGGGCCTGGGTATTCCATCTGACGAGATCGCTGACGGGGACACCTTGACAAGTCCTGTTAATAGGAAAAAACTCAGGCGATGGATGATTTCTGCAGCGGAAGACAAGTGACGGACACAAGGGACAAGACAGAGTAGGAAGTGGGGTGTGTGGTTATGAGACGGCTTGCTGCAGTGACTACTTATCATCCTCCTCGTGACCTTTCCCCTCTCTCTCTCTTTCTCCAACTTTCTACCTTTCACACACGACTCTCGAAGATTACTTTGCGACTATTTCTCAGCTTTTATATTGTCTTCTCATCTTTTCTTACAAACCCCAAGATCTTTTAAGAATCTTTCCCCAAACTTGTATACCTGTTTCCTTTATTAGGTTCCTCTACCAACACTCTGGACACTTCCACCGAGAACCTCTAGGTGACTGTTCCTTAAGCCTCCCTCGTATGCTTCTCCCCTCCACCCCCCACGTGCCCCCTACTCGCGGCCCCGACGTGCACTCTCAGAACCAACACTGTGCTGTGATATGCCGTGCTGGCCTACGGAGCCTCGTCGCCATCGTCAGTCCTCCTCGTCGTCGCCATCGTCAGTACTCCTCGTCGTGGTCATCGTCATCATCAGTGTCGTCACGAATCATTAGCATAGCAGAGCGAAACGACGACGACGTGTGAGACAGCGGCCACAGCGGCGGTGTTCATCATCGTCACCGTCGTCTTCTTGGTCGTTAAAACCCGTCTTCGTCACTTGTGATTTTTGAGGTCGTCTTCGTCGCGTCGTGTTGTGTTTTGTGTTGTTTTTATCCACAGCGACGCAACACACACGGCCGCGCGAACGACCCCCCACCACCCCTTCTCCCTTTTCTTCCTTCTTGAAGAATCAATTGTTGTCGTCGTGTCGAGTCGTCATTGTAGTTCGTAGTCTTGGTAGTGTCAGCCAGAGTCATCATGGAGCGTCGAGTTATCGCTGTGAGTCATCATCCTTTCTCCTGGTCGCTGGATGATGCTCGACCTCCAGCGACCATTCTTCTTAGCGATCATACTTCCTAGCCAACATCTCTCTCTTTAATCATCCTACGCTAAAAATATCTCATGGTGTACTTTTAAGTGTGGAAACTTATGGGTGTGCTTACGTACGGGAAAATTTCTAATGTTAATAATTAATAATACATAATAATAATAATTAATAACACAGGGGTTAGTTAAGTCAGTGAGTGTTGTCAAATCCACTTTGTTAGTTGCTAGTGAACTACTATTCCAGTCACTCCATCCTAAGGCAATATTACACTGTTATCTACACCCGCCCCTTTGGAACGTATTCAGAGACGGCACTTAAGGGGAGAATGTGACCGCTCCCAGTGGCTAATATATTCCTTGGTCCTGTACTGGATCGTCTACACTATACTCAGATGGATCCTCTTATAACTTTTGTACTCCCTCTTGAGTGCTGTACCGGGAGACGCTCCACAAGTCTTGCACAAACGATGCTTCAGACATCAGTGTACTAAGCTTGTCGGCATTAATTAGTGTTTTTGTAAAACTGAGTAGGACTTTTTTTTATTTAATAATAAGGTAGACAAGTGACAGTAAGACACGTGTTAGGAGTAGACTAAGTGTTAATGTAGCTCTTCTTGGAAAAATAATAAAAATACGCTTATTAGAATCCATGAACCATTGTTTGGTCATTAACTCATGTCATTCATTTTAGACTACTGTTAGGTTGTATGTTTAGTCTTAACCATTAAGTTATACTAATTTTGTTATTTTATTTATAGAACATCTTGTTTAAGTCTGTCAATGTTTGCTCCTTTGAGTCATTTCATTATATTTTACACCATCATGTCAAGATATGTAAAAAAATTCAGTACAATCGAGTTGTGTCATTCATACTTAATTTCAAAGTACATCACTATGATTCGTGCATTTAAAGAAAATGCGTCATCTGCTTCATTTTATGTAATGATACATTGTATCAATGTCTTAACAATTTATGGCTAACTGAGTCATTATCAGTGAAAGATAACTTAGTCGTGGCATTGTAGCTGTACGTAAGGATTGAGTCATTGTAGTGAGGACTGAGTCTTATAATGCATTCACGGAGAACAATGTAATCAGGGTGAAGAGTGTTGTGATGGTCCACCTCTTGTGCTGTTTCATATTGATACATCCTACGGGCCGGTGGGGCCACAAGTCCTCCAAGAACTCTTTATAATATGAGAATTCTGAGGTCGTCGCCATGCAGGAAACTAAAAATTCCCAAGCAGGTGGCTTCCGAGTCCTCCATTATATAATACATAGGACTTAACAGATCATCATGTGGTAGGCTTTAAAGACTCCTGATCGTGTAGGACGCCTCTGGGTTCATGAGCCTCCAAGTATGTTGCAGTGAAGGAGTCTTAAAAGTTCTTCAGCATGTATGAGGCTGCAAAGTTCTTCATGTGTAGAGCTTCAGAAGTGAAGCCCTCGAAGAGTCTTGTTGATAACCGGTAGTGATGGCGCCAGAAGCTTTGACGAGAACTTGAGTGTCTTCTTTGACTCATGGAATGTATGTTTTAATATTTAAGATTTGGAACAATCCAGGCTCGTGTTTTGTCTCATAATGACAGACACTGGGCGTGGATTCCTTCGGCAGGATCAGTAACGTGTAGTAGTGCCCAACAAGAGCCAGTGCCCTCGGGCCACGGCCGCCTTTGGTCTTCGATAGCTTCTGGGCGCCATCGGAACCGTTCCATTTTATCATTTTTTGAACAGATGCCAAGATGCTACGGGCACGTTGAAAATGTTACCTCCACTTTATATCTGTTGTGTAAACTTTCTTGAGATTATAGACACATAAGCAACTAGAGACTCTTGTATGTGTGATATTAAAAAGTAGAATTTGGATTTAGAGTTTAATCTTATCAAAACTTACGTTCTATGCATCAGGAATGACAAGATCACGTTGTCAACTGCTTTTGATTTGCAACAAGTTTGATGGTATGTAGCTTATAACAAAAATGCACTTTATGAACATTTTGCCAATTTTCTGAATCTTAACGTAGTGTTTCGTTAGTGTCCATCTCAAGTTGCTTGTGATGTCTTGTTTGGTGGATTCTTGTGACGCACTTGGTGTTCGAAGGTGTCAACTCTGCGTGCAATAAGTCTTTCAAAATGTTATGATTGCAGCAAAATGTACTGGTTGCAAGGCAGCTTATGTTGATTAGGCTTCTTTCAGACTCAGACCTATTTTTGTGATGCTAACTTTAGCTTTGGTGTACATATGTACAAAATGTACAAATGTACATAAAGGAGCCTAGTTTGTTTGGAAACAAATTGTATCTGTGATTCATTTTGGTGCGTTGGAGACGGTGCATCTTAGCTTGTAAATATTCATATTTGTATATTTAATGTGTACAGGAAAGTAATTTTGCACTTGTGCTTGGATTTTACCGTGTAAAACTTGTGATATGTGAAAATAAAAATAAAAACCATTTAACAACATGTTTCTCTCTCACCATCCTTGTACTAGTCACGCAGGGGTTCTCAACCAGGGGGGAATTTCCCCCCTCAGGTTTTCAGGGAGGGGGGGGAAACTGATACTAATATGGAAAAAATAAAGGATTTTCAGTATTATATGCATATTATTTGGAATGCACTTTTTGAGGCAGACAATCTTGGAAAGGAGGGGGGAATGACAATCTGACATGGTGAAAGGTGTGCATGGGGCAAACAAGGTTGAGAACCACTGTACTAGTGTGTGAAGGGAACGAACGTGAGGGACACTGAACCTCAGGTACTAGAAGACATACGAAACTCATATACAAGGCATTACTGTTTGCCACATTTTACTGTTGTACTTGACAAATTCGCATTATCTTTTAACATGATATATAGATGTTCGTAAAATACATAGTATATAAAATGATAGCCATTTAATTTTGATGGAAACAAGATGCACAACTGGGTTAATCCTACACAGAGATTCATCAATATACAGTGAAATCATATATAAAGAAACAAAGGCTTGTGAAAACTGCTTAATAACGTGGCTACTGAGGCCAATCCAAGCTGAGGAAGAAGGGAAAGCTTATCCAGACACAACAGCTGGAGTAAACAAGATGAAGAAATAAGTTAGGACACGAGTGATGAAGTTCTATTATGGATAATATAAGGAAAGACTTATAACTAACACGTGAAAGACAGACTTATAACTAACACGTGAAAGACAGACTTATAACTAACACGTGAAAGACAGACTTATAACTAACACGTGAAAGACAGACTTATAACTAACACGTGAAAGACAGACTTATAACTAACACGTGAAAGACAGACTTATAACAAACACGTGATGGAAAGACTTATAACTTAACACGTGAAAGACAGATTCATAACTAACAAGTGAAGGGAAGACATAACAAACACGTCAAGGAAAGACTTATAACTAGGCTTAGGATAATTATGCATTTAAAAATGGCTAAATATGCAGTAAAAACTGAGAAAATATACACTTTAAAATAAGTTAATAAATAATAACTACTAAGTTAATAACTCCTTTTCTGTACATTTTCTCAGTGAATTTACTTTCCCAGACAGGATGTCGCCGAAGTAGGATTTTTCAAAGAAGGATTAAATACAAAAAACAATATACTGACATTAAGTAATTTAATAAACAATTCTGAAAAAAATTTTCCTTTTAAGAAAATAGAAGAGTGTCAGGAGGGAACTGGTGGAGCCCGTGCATCTATACCCTGCCTGGCTGAACACGAACCCATCACGTACAGTTCATGTCCACTGACCAGCCAATCACGGCCTAGCTAACCACAGCCTAATGTTGAGCTATATAAACGTCACTTAAGTATGTTCCTTTTGGATATTATGACGCTAAAACAAAATCGCGTATTTTCGATTTTGTATTAGTGCAATAAAATGGACTGTTATATTTCAAATATCAGTAATTTCTGCCCCAGCGTTGCTTGTATGCTCGCGAATTTTTTGACCCTTGAGGTTGAAGAATGTTTTATAATATTTTGGAAATTTCCAAATACATGCCTTATAAAACAAAACATTATGAATATGCACTTTAGCTCAAAAATGGCTTAAATATGCATTTGCATATGCACATATGCAAATGCATAATTATCCTAAGCCTACTTATAACTAACACGTGAAGGCAAGACTTAAAACAAACACGTGATGGAAAGACTTATAACAAACACGTGAAGGAAAGACATAACAAACACGTGAAGAGTTTTAATTGTAATACACAACCTACAGACCTATACATAAAACAAACACACAACTCGTACATAAAACAGAAACCATAAGAGCACTGCCTCAAACTTAAAAGAAATACAAATTTAACCAAATAGCATTATCTGAAGCTTTTGCCAAACAGAATTATCTTAAGCTTAAAATCAATCAAATAGAAGTATCTCAAGCTTTAACCAAACAGCAATATGTCAAACTGTATCAGAAACCAACTGCGACAATAACACGAAAGAAAATGATGACAGGGAAGACATCACTCCTTGACAACCTGTACTATGTTAAATTACTAGTCATTGCCCCTAGACACGGAGAAGGTGAGAGGGAGGGACTCAGAGTTCAGTTAATATACTCCTTCAGTACAAAAAAAAAACTATCTTTACAAAATTGTGTTAGATAATATCACACAACGAACGAAATATTTTGACAACCTTTCTGAGACAACACAAGTCAGTGTTCATTCTCAGATACGTGGATAGTGTTTTGGGGTGACTTATATGAGGGATGGAGAAGGGGAAAAAAACTCCCCCTATAACATACCAAGTACGTAAAAATAAATATTTATATTAACCTAAAACTCTTATCCAGACGAGTAAAATTTATGTTCGGGCAGACACACCAGACAAGAACATTAGAAGGAAGGGAAAACTGGTGATTAAAGCATCATCATAAACGAAGGAAAGACACAAATTGTAATAAAGACAAAACAAGAAGACAATAACGACTATTCTTTGCGTATGATGGCAGGACAGAATCAGCAAAACACTGTATGATCGAAAAATTCCTGTGCACCAGTATTAATTAATAATAGATTTATTTACCTAGCACTTACCAAACCACTGTAGCTATAACAAGGAACGACTAATAATTATTCCAAGTGTACAGGAACTTTTTGATAAGAACATAAGATTGGAGGACACTGCAGCGGGCCATAGGCAGTCCCGTTTCCACCCAACCTCTATCGCTCATATATACGTCCAACCTATACTTGAAGCTACCCAGCGTGTTCGAGTTAATGATGATGTTTGGTATCTTATTCCACTCATCCACTACTCTATTTCCAAATCAATGTTTACCTATCTCACGCCTAAATCTATATTTGTCTAATTTAAAACCATTGCTGCGAGTTCGTTCCTGGTTGGATAATTTAAGTACCTTTGTTATATCACCTTTGTTTAGCCCTGACTTCCATTTATACACCTCGATCATATCGCCCCTCACTCCACGTCTCTCGAGAGAGTGCAAATTCAGATGCTTTAACCTGTCTCTGTACTCAAGGTTCCTAATACCCGGGATTAGTCTTGTCACCCTCCTCTGTATTCTTTCTAGGGATTCGATATCCATTCTGTAGTACGGCGACCAGAACTTAACTGCATAATCCAAGTGAGGTGTCACATGCGCAAGATATAGTTTTAGGATAACCTCGCTAGTCTTGTAACTAACACTCCTTTATATGAACCCAAGTACTTTGTTAGCCTTGTTACAAGCAAATACGCATTGTTGACTTCCGTTTAAGATTCCTACTTATCATTAGCCCTAAATCTTTCTCACAGACGGATTTCTCTCTATCAGCGTTGTTCATGTGATGTCTGGTGTCTCTGTTTACATCTCCTAGGCTTAGTACTTTACATTTGTCCACAATAAATTTCATCTGCCATTTTTCAGACCACGCCAAATTGTTTTTTTTTTAGATCTTCTTATAATTTTGCAGAGGCCCATTCAAAAGCAAATACACTCAAGGAAGAATATACTGTAATAAAAACACAAAGAAAAGAGTGTTCTGCAACAAAAACAATCACCAGTACAATACTCCTGCAACAAACACACGAAGATTAGACTATTTTACAACAGAAACACGCACACAAGAGTATTCTGCAACAAATAAAAAAACAAGACTATTTGCAACAGAACAAAGAGACAAAGATCATTCTGCAACATAAACACCCTCAACTCAGGCGAGGAAGACCCGCATTGAAAACAGATGCACAACACAAGAGCATGGAAACACCTTAGACGGTTCGCTGCTAATCTACTAACGACCGTAACGACCTACACTGTAACATTGCGATACCAGCCAATACTATACTATGCAAGCAAGTAGTGTCCGCAGTAAATGCTTTGTTATGCTGCGATGCAAGCCAGTTTTATCTGCAGGAATACTTAACAATTCTGTGATGCAACCCCCAGTGCCAGCCATGATATCATTGCCACACTGCGATACAAATCATTGCCGTCTATAGTGAATGCAAGTTTACACTACAACGTGCAATCAGTGACGTCAGCAGTTTGTACATTTGCTGCCTTGTGCTGTGAAATCTCAATGGCTTCAACAGTGAATACACGATTACAACCTTTACTGTGAATACATTGTAATCTTGTACGAAGCAAACCAATGGTAATATCCCCAGTGAACACACCTTAGTAACACAATCTGCCACTCAGACCAGACCTGTGTTTAGGGTTGATAAATATCTCCGTCATTATCCGTACGTTAAACGCTGACAGGTCTCCCAGAGCAAAATGTGCCGTGATGGTGAAGTGTTGGTGATGGTGACGTGTTGGTGAAGTGTTGGTGATGGTGACGTGTTGGTGAAGTGGTGATGGTGGCAGTGAATTGTTGGTGGGTGAAGTGTTGGTGATGGTAGAGAAGTGTTGGTGATGATGGTGGTGGTCGTTGTAAAGGGTTGATGGGTGATGGTGGTATTGATGTAAGTGGTGGTGGTGATGGTAGTGAAGTGTTGGTGGTGATGGTAGTGAAGTGTTGGTGGTGGTGAAGTGTTGTGGGTGTTGGTGGTGGTGGTGGTGAAATGTTGGTGGTGTTGATGATGGTGGTGATGGTGTTTGTGAAGTGGTGATGATGGCAGTGAATGTAAAATATTAATAGTGGTGGTGATAGTGAAGTATTGATGGTGATGATAGTGAAGCATTGATTGTGGTGATGTACAGTTCGGCAGAGGTGAACGAAACACTAGCTGAACAACCAACCAGTAGAGAGAAGCTGTAGGGAGGACGATACTACCTGGCCACAACACAGGAAACATCAGGGAGTCTAAAGGTAAAAATCTCTCGTAATGTTTATTTTGTTGTTTACTGGAGACACTTATGACTTGGTGAATGATGCTGGAAGACCCTGGTTGTTGAAGCACTTTTAATGCGTGAAAATGGATCACCTGAAGATTAGCTCCCCCCCACCCAGCTTATTTCACCTGATGATTCAACACCCTTATG